GAATTGCACTGATAATGTACGGTTGCATTCCGACGAGAAAAACATTTATAACTCAGTTTGTACTAAATGAGTTTGGACAAACTTTTTTTCTACATACTTCTTAGTATTTGTCCTGCTTACGGTAAAAATTTTAAATCTGTTTGTCCTTGTGTTGCTCAACAAACCGTTCGCACCCGAACATGGTCATTCACCGAGCAGTTCGGACCCCAACGTGGTCAGTCGACAAACCGTTCGCACCCGAACCTGTTCGGTCAGCAAACCGTTCCACTCGAACCTGGTCAGTCGGCAAACCCAACTAATACAATGATAAAGTATATGGGGAGGATTATATCCCTTGGCTCTACCACTAACTAAAACTACTGCGTACTTACAATAACAATGTTAATCATATAGTCAATTGCTTTTTTTTATAATACTTCAGCGAGGATGATCCCAGTAGTACTTTAAAACTGCAAAAAGCGGAGCAGAAATGACCTTCATTTCATATGACGTTAAAACAGTAAGCGATGTTTTGGATATAACAATCGTCGTTTTCCTTTTCATGTTTCGTTTAAATGAAAACATGAAATGTGTTTATCGAACATATGTCTTTTCAATGTGAGAAAAATTAAGTAAGGGATAAATAAGCGTGCAGACTATACTAGAGTGAGTGTTCCTAATTTGAACGGAAAAAATGAATGATGCAGTGTATCCCTTATTCCTCAACCGCCTGCTGTGAACAGTTCGTCTTGATTACATCATGTTCGTGAAGAGAAAACCGCGTAAAACATGATGAAATCATTGTTTCAAACAAGCTCTTCGGGGAGAGATTTCTTCAACCTAAAGATTGTGCTCTCTGGTGCTTTCGGATTCGACAAATTACTAGGTTTCTTGAGCTATGAGATAAAATTTCTTGCGTTTCTTGAACTCAAGATCTCGACCACTCAAAAGAAATTTTCATCAGGGATATCATCGATTAAATACACTCACGAGACTAATTAAAGGCAAGTTTAAGCGTTAAACTTTCACAGTTCCAAATCGGAAACATTTCACAAGCATCAACTCTGTTTTTCCGTAGCGCGGCTAGAAGCTTTGGAAAATTTTTTTTGTTCAAAAGCATTTATAAACAACAAATGACACTTTGCTTGTTTTAAATATCCGTTTTCGTTGAAACTGCAACCAAAACATTTCTCTTTAGTTGAAATACAAGTTCTCAATAAATAAACAATTATTAAATAAATAAAATCACAAAAAGATGATTAACTTGTCATCTCGAAAACCGAAATTTGAATAAGAAAGCGCTCAAAAACTCTAACTCAAAACTTCTCGACAGACAAAAATCGTCAAGAAAATGAACAAAAATTGTGCAAGATATTTTTTGAAGTTTTAGGTGTGTATTACGACTGCACAAAACAATCAGAAAAAATATTCAATCCGTTTTGCCTTACAGAGAGTTCAGAGTTGGATATAGTCGAAAATGGTCTCCGGTAAAACGACTGTCATCTGAACATCTATATGACATCCAAAAACCTGTTGCATCTTCCATGAAACGTAAAGTACTTTTTCGTTGAAGGGTTGCCAGATTCTTTTTCGCGCTCGAGTCTGTTTCTCTCGCAGTTGGCGGTAAAACTATAATTGGAGCTTTTTCTCAAGAACTCATGCAAGAAACTGCACTTTTCATATTATTTTTGAGAAAAAGAATGGCTTCGTTTAATTCTAGGCATATCGGCCATCTTGAATTTCTATTGGTTAGCGACCAGAACGAGTAAAATAAGCGCACACAGAAACGACCGCTGTGAAAATAGATTTGTAAAGATCGAAAATAATTTGAAAAAGTCGAGGAAACTCTTGAATGTCCAGGGGTTTGAGGTTATTGCGAGTACGAATATCATAGCCGCTGTCAATAAATTGACGCGGGTTAATCCCTACCCGGTCCCTATGTACATAGATATTGGGTCCTTCCGCGCAGGTCCGCCCAATATTACGTTCACTAACCATTAGCCGCGAAAATTTCACTTGCCCCATCGTGTAGAGCATCAAAATAGCCTAAAGGTCTTGCTTATGCTTTTTTGAAAAAACATGTGGAAAGCGGTTTTCCAGACACCTCAAGTTTTTGGTGAGGGTGAAACCGAAGTCGGTGAAAATGAATGAAACATTGCATAATCATAGCTCATCAAATTGTTGCTCTTGATGAGTTGATTCTGATGGTGAAAGAATTCGGTCTCGATCTAATTTTACATTCGAGTGGTACTCAATCTACTTGAAAAATTTCTGAAGTTTAAACCCGATTTTCTCCTATAATAAGCTTCAATACAAAATTTACCTCTCGCCATTCCCAGTCGATAACCACATTTCACAGAAATAAAACAAATAAACAAAAATACAAACATGATATAATAACATTTCGTGTTGCCCACCTTTTAACTGTTAGATATATAAATCATATCATAAGTTATAAGTGTGCAACGTTTCTAAGTTCCAGCATGTTCTATAGGAAGTTACAGTAACAACAAAATTTGTTATTTTTTCAAAAAACTCATCTTAGTTGGCATATCCAACTTGTAGTAATTGATATTTACAATTTCTATAACGCTTCTTCCACATTATTTAAATCAGATTTAAAAAAATAATATGATATAAAATGCAAAACCAGGCTTATTATTCTTCTTTTCCAATAAACAAGTATTCGCGGTAATGTTGGTGTATCATAAAATTAGAGATATAGATGAGGTTTTATATCGAGTTTGAGAAGTGTGTAAACGATATTTTAAATTATTATTTTCTGTACATTGTGAATTTTTCTAATAAGTAAATGTGTCAGTCAATGAAGAATTACAAAAGAAGAAACAAACGCTCTCGCACAAGTTTAGTCATGTGAACAAATTTGTCCTTATCTTTGAGCTCGTACATATACTATTCTTTCATACTTCGTCTATTTGTCGTAGTTATTTAATTTTGTTACTCGAAACAGCGTAAAGCATTCTACAAAACTTCAAATTTTCCCTCTCTGAATCTCGAAATACTGAATTCATTTAGCCTTCGAGTTAATATTTTCAGTTTCTTTACTTGTCGATTTTTATCTCCATTCTTTTATGCGTCCGGCACCTTTCATTCAAAGGCATACTTCAGAAAAGGATACACGAAAATCTTTTAGATTTCTGTCGATAATCCTTCTTGTGCTGAACAAACGTGTTTTTGAGAACTGATATTCTTTGTTTCTTTTGACAATAACCATTATTGGTTTATCAAAAAGTATTTGTGACTTAGAAAAAGTCTAACGGACTTTCTATAAAATTTAAATTTTCTCTAAGGACAATATTCGGAGACGCTTCCCTCATAGAGAAAAATAATTAGAAGAATCGCATGTTAACGATGAAGGAAGCTTCTCGCAAACACATAGAAAGCGTTCGTGCTTCATGTTTTACTATGACATTTTTGATCATAGATAAAACTAATTCGATAATAATACAATATTAGATATTCGATATAACATTCAAATTTTGAATAGTTTTGTAGTTCATATTTTTGTTACATAGCCGAATCTAAAATAAGAAATTTCTTTCCTTTTACAGTGCATTCCTACGATAAAAGAAAATTCTTTTATTTACTATAGAATAATTAAATATTTGTCTGAAATGGCAATGAAACAACTGTTAAATACTCTATTCAAATACATTTTTTTTTTTTCTTAGTAATGGTTGACTAAACTCATTCTCTGTCCAATATAATTAAATATGACCGTATATTTCTTAATAAAAGACATTTTTCATTTTCTTCTCTTATTTTCTTGCGACATATAAAAAAGAGAAAAGAAATTTATTGTAATTATTATTCAAAAGTTTCGCTGAATATAACATTCGTCAAGACAACTAATACAATGATAAATATTCCATCATCATTTGCATTAGATAATGAAAATCAAAATACAAACGATCAAACAGAACTATCAAATAAGAAAAAAGATTATATAAAACGTCATCGTCTATCAATAATAAATGAATATTTAATGAATACATCTACACATGGTTTAAAAAGTTTAGGTTTGGCTTATAACAGTGTATATTTTCTATTTTGGTTTTAACATTTTTATTAACATTTAGTTCAATGGTCTATTTTATTATTATCATTATCCAACTCAAACAATAATTGAAATTAAATCTGAAACGGAATTGAATTTTCCAGCCGTTATATGTTGTAATTCAAATCCATTTCGCTACGATAAAATAAATGAATCATTTAATAATTATTTATTAAATACAAATTGTACATATATCCATAATAATGTCTATTGTATGAAACAATTTATAAATAATTTATTTAATTCGAATAATCAAACACAAGTAGTTAATTATGGCTATGATATAAATGATTTATTAGCCGGTTGTAATTATAATATATTAAATTGTCGTCATAAATTAAAATATATTCAATTTATGTCTCCCTCCTATGGTAATTGTTTTACATTTAGCCACTGAAAAGACATCGAATGGGTGGGGATCTTCCATTCTCTGACTATAACAAAATTAACCATTTCGCGTTTACTCGATGAACTATGAAAGCTGAACTACTATCGATCCATAAATACAGTGCAGAGTGGCGTTTTTTCGAATAACTTTTTATGGAAAAGTCCTAGCGATCTACGGTTTTTACCATCGTGTAGAGGACGATTTTTGCTCTTAGAAAAATAGTAAGCCTCACAAGGTGCACCACCTGTAGGTGGTAAGTCTTATCGATCTTTGAAAGAGTAGGTTGCTGAACTAAGAAAAAAAATGCAAAAAATTTTCCCCCGATGCTGGCTCGAACCACTAGACCTTCCCCTACAAATCCGCGAAAGAACCAAATCGCTATCTCTAATCATTCGGGCAGGGTTGGGGGGTTTTTGTGGG